CTCCAATAATTTTCCCACGGTATTTCAGAGAAATGGAAAACTGGTATCTTTTCTTTTCCTGAGTAGCCTTGAGTTCCCTGTCTGTACATTGCAGCAAGGAGCCGATGACAGAAGCTGTCAGTCACTGTAGGGATCAGTGAGCCAGGATGGCTGAAAGGGGCTTCGTGGTGGTAGGTGGGCGGTTAGAGGTGTGCGTGACAAGCAGTGACCACTGTATTGGACCACCCTCTCCCCTGGCAAAGCATGCAAAGGCATCCAGGGTCATGTGGCAAAAAGTCTCCTCCCCTTCGTATAACCTAGTCACTAGGTCCTTTCAGAGTCACCCCCACACACCCCTGCTGCCCAAGCAAGCAGGCATGGAGGTTATTTCGTCTTAACTAATTGGTGGTGCATGGACACATCTCCCTGTTGAGCTTGGCAGTTGTGCCCCATCAGTATGGAGAAAGTGTTCTCTGCCCTGTGGCGACATGGGATCTGTGGGTAGGTGAGCCATGCCACGTCAGATCCTCCCCCCATGGGCACATGAGTGGTCTCCAGCTGTTTGCTGTGATGACCCACGCTGTTGTCCGCAGGAACGGCCCTTCTCCTGCAGGTGTGATTGCTTCAGGGCCAGCCCTTCAGTAAACATTGCCAGGTCTCCGCCCTGGGCAAGAGGAAGTGGTGGCCAGCTGTCCCTCCTGTTCCTCTCCAGGGTGATGCTGACGGGGACGCTCTCTGACCGGCAACCAGCCGAGCTCCACCTCTTCCGCAACTATGATGCTCCTGAGTGCATCCGGGAACCTCGTTTCACCCAGAACATTAACCTGAAGCCTCCGACTCTGCCTGCAGGTTTAGACCTTGGCAGCTGACTCCCCGGGGGGAGGTGCTGCTGGGACCCAAGGGATGCACAGACTTGACCTTGGCTGCCCCCCACAAGCCCTCTCTGCCACCCACTGCCCTGGTCTCCAATGACTGAGCATAGGCCTTGCCAGACCACCTGAGATGACAGGTGGCATGGTGACACACCCCCATGTCACACACATTCGTATACGTCCTGAGGTGGGAAATACGTGGGTTTTACACCAGACCCTGTACCACTGGGCCCCTCTCCCCTGCTCCCCGTAGACCAACTGGTGTGGCGGGCAGCCCGGAGCAGTGGGGCAGCCCCCACCTACTTCCGGCCCAATGGGCGCTTTCTGGATGGTGGGCTCCTGGCCAACAACCCCACTCTGGATGCCATGACTGAAATCCATGAATACAACCAGGACCTGATCCGCAAGGTGAGTGGGTGGCAGCATGGGCAGGTGGGAGGACGTGGACAGGACAACTGCCTAGTATTCAGCCCTGCCGAGGGCTAGCTCCGCAACTAGCTGTTAGCCCCGTGTTCATTCCCTTGCACTGTGACCAGTTTTCTCACACTTGAGCCTGTTTACTGGGTGCTGTGTGCCTACAACACTGCGTTGAGAGGGATGCTGAGGCTCAGGCTGCACTAAATGATGGAAGTTGTCAGAATCAGGGAAGAGCATCAGGCATCCTATGTGCCTACCATGAGTGCCTGCCCTGGGGACACACTTGCCTTGCAGAATTCCCATCAGAAGGACAGGGTCTGCAGGTGGACTCACCCCTCCAAGGTCCCTAGTGCTGGGATTGACTGCACTGACTTTGCCTGGTTTACAGGCTGGGGATCTGGAAGAGGCTCCATGGAGGAGGGGACCCTCCTGAGGACTTGGGGGACAGGAATGTGCGGAGGCAGCGACTCCAGGAAGAGAAGCCATCATTTCCCCGAGGAGTTGAGCAGAAGTGGGCAAAGCCTTGCAGACAGGAAAGGTGGTGTCAGGGGCCCAGCCACTGAGCAGTGGGGATGGAGGTGCAGTGGTGCCACCCAGGAGTTGTCGTGGGACCTCAGTGTGCTGCCAGCTATCAGGCGTTCAGTGCTGGCACCTGGCTCCTGGCTCCTGGCCACCCATCTTTTTGTGAGGAAGCCCCAGGACAGGTCCTAGGGGCCAGAGGGGGGGGGTGTCTTCTTGGGGCCAGATCAGGCTGGCCTCCTGGAGGAAGGAGATCCAACTGCTTTCAGACATGGTCCTGAGGCCCAGAGGGGGAGGGACTGGCCCAAGGTCACACAGCAGAGTGCCAGCCAGAGCTGGTTCTGCAGCAGAGGGGGGGTGCGCCTCCAGGGCCCTGGGCTCAAGCCTCAGTCCCCCCGTTTTCCAGCGTAAGGCCCTGCCTGGTGGCTTCCCTCACTGAGGGTCTGTGCGTGGGAAATGGGGCCCGTGGCAGCCCACACTCTGTGACTTGGAGCCTATGTGAGACAATGTGAACAAACAGCAGTGATCAAACAAATGGCCCATGACGGGCCACCCTGTCTCCTTCCTTCCCTGTTGCCTCCTTCTTTCCCTAGCACCTGCTTTGACTCAAGGAGGCAGCAGTTCCTGGTGTGTGTGTGTGCATTTGAGTGTGTGTCAATGTGTGTGTGAGAGAGTGAATGTCAGTGTGTTTATGTGTATCACAGCAGGAGTGTGTGTATGTGTGTGAGTGTGCATATGATAGTGTGGATGTGTGTGAATACGTGTGTATTGTGTTAGTATGTAAGAGTGTGTGAGTGTGGGTACATGTGTGGTATCTTAGCAAGAGTTTATGAATGTGCATGTGTGTGCAAGAGTATAAACTGTATATGGGAATATATATATATCATACTATATATATATCATATATCATGAGTGTGTGTACGAGTGTATTGTGTAAGTTGTGAATGTGAGTGTGTGTGTGTGACAGCAAGGATGTGTGGATCTTTGTTCACATACAGGTGCTTTTCTGGTAAGACCCCCCTGTCATGACACCATTCCAGTGCTTCCAGGGGACATAGTCAGGGTGCCCTGTCTCCCAGGGCCTGGGCTGGGGTTAGTGCCTGGTGTAGTGGGGCACAGGAGTGCCCTCTCCGATTCTGTGGGGAGACACCCCCTCCTGTGTCTGCCCATTCCCAACAGGGTCAGAGCGAAAAGGTGAAGAAACTCTCCATCGTGGTCTCTCTGGGGACAGGGAGGTCCCCGCAAGTGCCTGTGACTTGTGTGGACGTCTTCCGCCCTAGCAACCCCTGGGAGCTGGCCAAGACTGTTTTTGGGGCCAAGGAATTGGGCAAGATGGTGGTGGATTGTGTGAGTCTGGGCCCAGCCTTGGGCACCTTCACTGGGGTGGGGTGGGGGACTGCCTCCACCATCTCCCCACAGAGCCCCCACTGTGGATAGTGGCCTGGATTTGGAGTCTCACTGCAAGGCAGGGGCCTTTGTGACCACCCAAGGTGGCTTTCAGGATGGGCCAGCGACAGAAACTGCAGGGGGAGGGACTCGGAGGTGTGGCCATACCATCGCTGGCCTCCTCACCCACCACCAACCTGCGTAATCACAAACCTGCCCCTTGGTGCAGCTGGGACGAGCACAGCAGTCCAGAGAGGGAGGACTTGCCCACAGTCCCTCTGCTGAAGGGCCACTGGGTCTGGGTGCCAACCCTGCTCCCGGGGGGCAGGGATGTCGGGACACTGCAGTATCTGTGGTGTGGGGCTGGGCACTCACAGCGGCCACTGCTCCACAGTGCACAGACCCTGATGGCCGGGCCGTGGATCGTGCTCGGGCCTGGTGTGAGATGGTGGGCATCCAGTACTTCAGGTGAGATCCCCCCGCTACCAGCATGGGCTCACCCCTCCTGTGTCCCCAGCCTGAGGTGACTCCATCCTCCCCACCCCACACCCCATCCGGAACAGACTGAACCCACAGCTGAGCACAGACATCATGCTGGACGAGGTGAGCGATGCCGTGCTGGTGAATGCCCTGTGGGAGACCGAGGTCTACATCCACGAACACCGGGAGCAGTTCCAGAAGCTCATCCAGCTGCTGCTGTCGCCCTGAGACCCCCCAGGCCAGCACCCCACCACCTCACCCCAACCCCCCAGGGCAGAGCTGGAGAGCCGGGCAGCAGGGTCTGCAGCTCCAGAAACAAAGCCGGGAACCCCCTGCAGTCTGTGGGGGAACTGGGTCCAAGACCTCTCTTCCTAGACTGTGAAGGACAGCTGACCCAGGAGCTCTGTGCTCTCTTGGCTGCCCAGCCCCCACCTCTGCCCACAGGGCCTGCAAGTGCTGCCAGTGCCCCAGCCTGTGTCACTGGCTCCCAGGATCTCTGGCAGGAGCAGCCCTCCACCTCTGTCTTGCCCTCTGCCCTGGGAGTGGGTTCTGGAGAAACAGGGCATCCCTCATCCCATCAGCAAGAAAATACCAGGCCTTAGGAGCGGGGTGCCCCATTCGACTTTGCTCTGCCACCCAAGCCCAGCCACCCCACCCTTCGGAGCTGCCACACCTGGAGGCCCCTCCTTGATTCTCAAAGGTCACTCTGAGTTAACCCTTCCCCTACAGCAGTGGGTCAGGCTGGGGGCTGCTTCAAAACTGTGAAATAAACCATTTGGGTTCACACACGACTGCTGTGTGAGTGCCCTAACTCCACACCTCCCCCACCCAGCTCCCTTCCACAGTCTGGAGCAGCGGACCCCCACTCTCCCTTCAGGGCTGCTGGCCCAGGCAAGCCCACGGGGGTGGGGGGCTTTGCACCTCAGCTGGGAGCCTCGCTTGCAATCCAGGAGACTTGGGTCTGGTCTTCAGCAGGGAGGAGGGAAGAGGAGTAGCCACATGGGTGTGAGGAGCTCCTGGGGAAGTGATGCTTCCGCCCCCAGGCTCTGGCAGGAAGGGTCCCCGGGGCCAGGAGGTGTCCTGGGAGAGCAGCCATCTGCACGTACCTACTGGCCAATGGCACAGGGGGGTAAATAATTGAAGGACAGGTTACACGAACCCACCCGCCGCGTCACAGGACGCCTTCCCCACCGGCTCCGGTTACGCCCCAGATCGCGTTTTGACATCCCCAGCTGGTGAATAATTAAGCAGCCACCTCCTCCAGAGCAGCCTTGAGCTCCAGGCCTGCTCACTCAGCAGCCTCCACACACAGCCCACTCCACAACCAACGCAGCAAGAACGGACCCACGCTCCCAGCTGACCATATCGCCGTCCTGCTCAGCGCCAGCGCAACCGCCCAATGGCTCCCGAGATGGACCAGTTCTACAGGTCCACCATGGCCATCTACAAGGTGAGCCCCTCCCCGAGGGGTCCAGCCTGCAGGTTCTAGGGGGCACGGGTGGGGGGGCAGCAGGAGGGAGGCAAGCCTGGCTGGCTACAGGCATGGGACAGAGCCCCTGACTCTCACTCCCAGGCTGAGGTACCAAGGGTGGCTGGAGCTGGGAGCAGCGGCCTACTAGCTGAGCCTATAGGTGGATGTCCAGGAAGATGGGAGCTGCATGCTGGCTGTGGCCTTGCCCTCTTTCTCAATGTCTTCTATGCCTTCCCTCAGACTTCACACTTTGCCTCCAGAGGGGGTTGCCATAGTTTGCCTCCAGAGGGGGTTGCCACAGTCACTGTAGACCTTTATTGGCACCTGCTGTATGCATGGCTCTTTCACACGTAGACAGTAATTATTGCTGCCTTTGAGAGATGAGGAAGCTAACAGATGATGCTGCCATGAGAATCCAGACCCAGTTCCAAGGCCAAGTTCAGGGCTGCCTTCACCACCCAAAGTGCGCTTCACCTGCCCCTGGCCTCAGATGGCCTGCGGTGACCCAACCACCACCTGGCTCCCAGGGGAGCTTGTCCTTGAGGAGGGCAACATCTGCCCTTGACCCCAAGGTGACTACTGGCAAGCCCATGTGTTGGGCCCAGGGAGGCCTGGGTACAAGGTGAGCTATGTCCAGGCAAGGCCGTGGCAGGGAAGCAGGCTTCAGCCCAGTGGGAGAAGAACCTTCAAGGTAAAAGGTGCAGCCGGGCAAGTGTGTAAGCAGAGACTGGTCGCCAAGGACCCTTGGTCCTGATGCTGCCCCACCCAGGTTCCTGGGGAACTTGCCAGGCCCCCTAAAGGGACCTCGGCCCAGCTGCTTCTTCCTCTCTCACCTGCATCTCCCATCATTGCACGTCTAGAGCATCATGGAGCAGTTCAACCCCGCCCTGGAGAACCTCGTGTACCTGGGGAACAACTACCTACGGGCCTTCCACGGTGCGTGCTGGGACCAGGGGTCGCCCAGCCCCAGCCCCACCAGCCTCAACCTCCAGGCTTCTCCTTGCCTCCACCAGTGTCCCAGCCCATCTTACCCCCTCCACCCTATTGCCAACCCTATAGCTCATCCTCAACCCTACAGCTGCAGCTGCCTTTTGTACCCCCGACCCATCCTCTGCCTGCAGCCCAGGCCGCACTGCCACCCTTCCTGCAGGTGCCCTGGATGCTCCTGAGATCTAACACTGGGTCCCATACAACCCTAGCCATGCCCATGTCCCCCCAGTGTCACTCATGGATCCCAGCCCCCACACTTAACCTGTCCACACCCACCCATGGCTGCCTGAGTCCCCACATGGTCCCCTCCAACACTGCCAATCTATTCTGAGGCCAGGGACCTCTAAGAACCTCAGACCCAGAGCGTGCTCCCCTCCAGCACGCGGCCTCTCCCTCACCCCACAACTGGCCTGCACAGCACACCTGTGTGGGTGCACACGGATGTTGTGCCCCACCCACAGGAGACACACGCTGAGCTCATCCTCACATGAGGCCCCTGGGGAGAGCCCACACCTGCGCGTCCCTGCTGGCGTCTGGCCAAGGCTGCCTTTGCCCACACCACCCAGGGGAACCCTCCCTGTCTGGCATGGACCCTCAGTGGCCGGCCCACACACTCTCAGGGGAGGGGCGAGAAGTAGAGACTAGGATGGTAATGGGACCTTCCTGCCTGCAGCCCTGTCGGAGGCAGCCGAGGTCTACTTCAACGCCATCCAGAAGATCGGAGAGCAAGCCCTGCAGAGCTCCACCTCGCAGATCCTTGGTAAGACGCCCCCCTCCTGCCCCTGGGGGTACCCCTCCGAGCCCCCACTCAGGCTTCTTCCTACTGCTGCCTGGGCTCTCCCCACCTTAGTTCTAATGCTCCACGCAAACCCAGAGCCTGCTTCTGCACACCATCCTGGGGTCGAGAAGGTTCCTTTTGTACACATGCCCTTTCGGACAATCTCTCATCCTCTCCTGCACCCCCAAAAGTGATCTGGGGCCCAGACTCTGTTGGTGATGTCCAAACCATCCCCCACCCTGTCCTATAAAGCTGCTTGGGGCTGGGACAGGACAAGCACTGGGACAAGGCACCTGAGTCCCTTAGAGCCATGCAGGAAGTACCTGGACTTTGGCCCTGAAACCCAGCCTTGGAGAGGCCCTCTCGTCACTGTGGCAGCGGTGGGGCGGGCACAGGACACTGGGGGGGAGGGGGGGAAGGGCAGGCTTTGAGGCTGTGGCTCTCTCCTGCCCCCAGGGGAAATCTTAGTGCAGATGTCTGACACCCAGCGGCACCTGAACTCTGACCTGGAGGTGGTGGTGAGTACTAGAGCCTCGGAAACCGGGCTGTTGTCCATGGACAGAACCAGGGTTCAGCCTGCAGACCTCGTCAGGCAGGAGGACACCCCAGCCACCACTGCCCTGGCCAGTACCTGCCAGGGACGGGCTCTGCAGGCCACATGTACCTGCACAGCCTGCTCAAGACGCAAACGGCCCAGGAAGCTGGTACCCCTCATTCTCCCCTTGGACAGAGCTGACAACTGAGTTCCAGAGACCCAGTCTTCTCCCAAAAGTCCAGAGTGAGTGGAGGTAGCAGGAAGAGAAGGGCCTCAGCCCCTGGCTCCCACCCTGCACCCCATTATCCCCAGGAGCTGGCCATGTCAGTCCCTCCACTTGCAAATCCCGCTCTCTGCAGAGCTGAACACAGGCTCCATGCTGAGGGGTGCCAGCCCTGTGGATGCAGCAGCCACTCTCCAGCACCCTAGCCTAGCTTCCAGGAGCAGCTGATCCTTGTCCAGTACTCTCCCTTCCTCCCAAAGGCATCCATGGCCACACGCACTGCCAGTCCCTGAACGCAGGGGGTGATTCTGTCTAGCGCAGTCTACTGCCAACGCCCTAGACTCCAAGCATCTCCCTAGCAGTCACTGGCTCTGTGTGTCTCAGCCACTCTGTCCCTCCATTGTCTCCTTTGAATAGTTAAGATTGGTGGTAACTAATTGCCTCTCAGACAACAAAATGGGCTTGGGTTATGGAGAACATGGCTTCCTGTCCCTGGGCCCAACGTCTCTCCGTGTCACTTGTGTCATGCCCAGGTTATGTAGGGACAAGTCTCGCTCAGGCTGACTCTGTAAGGAGAGCTGTCCTCTCCCAGTACCACGGTCTTGGCTGTGACAAATGGGCAGGGCCCTCCTGCCAGAAGGGCCAGAGGCCAGCTTGGCCTCCTTTGTTTGGTGACTGTGTACTGCTGTGTGCCAGGTGCTGGGGACCCAGCAGTAGAAGTTCCTGTCTTCCTAAATGGGATGCTCAGGGAGATGCAGAATGCGCAAGGAAACCATTAGGACAGGCAGAGGGCGCGCTGGGGGTCGTTGGGGACAGAGCTACCAGGAGCGACCTGACATGAGCATTCCAGGCTGGGGCAAGCACGTGAGGAGGTATGGAAGTGTGAGTGACAGGAGGTGGTCAGGCATCTCAGGACCCTGCCGGGATTCTGGCCCCCACGAGAGGGTTGTAAACCACGAGGGGACAGCAGCTGACTTAGATCTGCCATTGTTTTACCTTTATGTTATCAACCCAAAACTCAGAGAAAATGCCACAGGACAAATTAGAGTTGAATGATGATGCATTGTCAGGCAGGCCAGCCTTGAAGGGGTCACCCAGGTCAAGAACACTGTCACCTCCAACACTGTCACTGCCTTCCTCAAAATCCCAGCCCCTCCTACTCCTTCGCTCTCAGCCTCCCTCCCGAAGCAGCCACTGGTCTGAGCCGGCGCTGTCCCTTTCCCTTCGTGGTTCGGCAGCCACATGTGCATCCTACATGCTAGGATTTGACTCTGCTCTTCTGAAATGAATATGCTTTGCATCTTCCCAGCCTGCCACCTCCCTTGCCAGCCACATCTCCTTTATCCTGGCCTGCCCTTTCACTTGGCTCACCCATGGTCTGGAAGCCACTGATCATCCACCACTGGTATAAGTCAGTGAGTTCTTCTGCCCCACCCTGGATCCTGAGGCCTGGCAGACTCCAATCCCATTCTTGGCTAGCCGAATTTTTAGATCTTCCATGAACATACTTCTGATGTTCACCCCAAAGGCTTCTGTGAAGCCCCTCTCCCCAACCTGCTCTGGGCTAGCATTGGCGGGTGACAGATTTTGTTCATCCCCTTGAGCCATCAGGTTTCCAGACAAGGCATTCACTCCCTGCCTTCCACGGGCAGTGACCGATTATTTTCTTCTCCCTAGCATGATTGTCATCAGAGCCACAGATTTAAGCTGCTGTGACACGTTCCATTCCTTTGCCATTAGTCCTACTGGAGTCGTAGGTGTCCCATCCTGGGCCAGAGGAGCCTCTCTGTCCTGCCCACTCGGCCCTTGTGACAGATGGAAAAGGCTCGTTAGCATGCTCCCTGGCTGGCTGGTATGGCAGGTATGCTGGTCTCAGCTGCTGCTTCTGCTGCTTGGGATCTGGGAACAGGCATTTCTGCACAAAGCCTTAGTGCTTGTCTTCAGTGGCAAATGTCCTTGCAAGTCAGAACTACAGAGAGAGAAAAGAGAACATTTTCATCTGCTGATTTGTTCCCTAGATGGCTGCAACGTCCAGGGCTGGCCAAGGTCAAAGCCAGGGAGCTCCAGCCAGGTCTCCCTTGGGGGCGGCAGGAGCCCAAGCATTTGGGCCATCCTCTACTACTTCTCTCAGGCACATGAGCAGGAAGCTGGATTGGAAGTGGAACAGCCAGGACAGGGACCAGGGCCCCAGTGGGATATAGAGTTGCATGTGGAAGCTTTACTTGCTATACCAGGCCTTAATAATGTGCTTTACCCTTGGGTAGTTTCACTGTTTTTTGTTTTTTGTTTTTTGTTTTTAATTTCAGAGACATTTTATTGGAATGTTCTGATTCCCGCTCTGCCTTTTGTAACCTGGGTACTCAGGCCTGCTAGTCCCACTTCATCCTTGCCACTTCCTCCTGGCTGGCTTTTTTTTCTTTGTGTCCCCACCGCCAGGAATGGTGATGGAAGGCCTGTGTAAGGAGCCCTGGCATGAAGGGTGAGCGCCATCTGTAAATGACTCTGGATACCAGCCTTGTTGAGAGATCATCCACCTGCCAGAAAATTCACCTCTTGCAAGTGGGAATTTAGAAGTTCATGGTGTAGGTCAGCATGGTGGCTCAGCACGCTAGTCCTCTGCCTGCTAAAGCCAGCATCCTATTAGGACACCGGTTCGTGTCCTGGCGGATCCACTTTTAATCCGTTGTAATAGGTGGTAGCTTTACCTGCTGTGCCACAGTACTGACCCCCAGGAAAGCATTTTTAGTTTCCCAGGATCTTTTCCTAAGCTGTCCCCCAAACACAGTCACTTCCTTCACACAGCCCCACCTATCCCTGTTTGGGTCTGCCCTGTGTGTCTTTTTGGTGTCTCTGGGTCTTGTGCTGCATTTAGCTCCCTTTGCAGCGCTTTCGCCTCCGTGTGCCCCCAGTCCTGGGCCTGGCTGGTGGCTTGGCTTCTCCAGCTCTCCCAGGCTCTGCTTGGGAGGACCTGTTCCCCTACTCCTCGGGGTCTCAGAGACTCCCAGCTGTGTGGGGGACTCCTGTACTGGGCCCCACATAGGCGCTGGGCCGCCTGGGTCCCACAGCAGGAGTGATTTTGATTTGGAAGTAGCAGGCAGCCATCCCAAAGCCGAGTGATGTCCCAAGCTGCAGATAATCTCACACTGTATAAACACTTTTATTTTTCTTATTCGTATATACCTGTGATAGTAAGAAGTTAGTAAGAACTAATAATAAGTTTGAATAGTTACAACAGTATATCATAATGAAGGTGGTGTGACACTTAATGAAGCTTATTTCTAGATTTTTCCATACAATATTTTCACAACCCTGTTTGACTGCGGGTCTCCAAAACTACCAAAAGCAAAGCCACAGCTTAGGAGGCATGACGGTATCGTCACTGGGGTGTCTGATTTTGCTCTGGCTTCCTCAGCTGTGCCCAGGTGGCAGATCTCTCCCATGCCCTTGGCAACCATGCCATCCTAGAATGTGACTTGCTGATTTCTGTACTTTTCTTCCTATTGAGATAGAATGTATACATGATGAATTTTGACAGTTGAACATCTTACATAACCACCACCATCCCCACCCTCAGAAAGTTCTGCAGCAGGTGCATCCAGCCTCCCCCAGGGTTACCCACTCCCCAGCTTCTGTCTGGAACATTTTCATGTCTGCTGGGTATATCATACCTGGGGTGACATGTAAGGGTCATGGGTCCACCATGTTAAACTTGACAGTGAACTGCCAGAGACTTTATCAAATTCCTCTGCTATCCTCACCCTCACCAGCAGCAAGCTGCCACTCTACATCGCAGCCAGTGTTTGCTGTCAGCATCTTTTTCACTTGATGCTCTGTCGGGTATGGACTGGTGTCCCAGTGTGTGTGTGCTTGCATGGGCCTGCTGACTAGTGACTGTTAATAGGCATTGGGAGATATATATATATATATATCTTCCTCCAGAAGGTGTTTTGGTCTTCTGTCCATCTTCTACCACAAAAAGGTTTAGTTATTTGAAAGTCAGAATGACAGAGTGAGAGAGAGCTGGGCCAGGAACTGCATCCGGGTTTCCCACACAGGGAACAGAGCCCTTGCTTGGAACTTGGGCCATCTTCAGCTGCTCTCCCAGGCACATTAGCAAAGAACTGGATTGGAAGCAGAGTAGCTGGAACACGAGGTGTACTAACATGTGATGTGGGTGCTGCAAGCCATGTGTCAGCCTGCCCTTTCGTGTTGCCAGCCCCTCTTGCCTGTTCGTTGTGGTGTACTCACTGTTGACCTACAGGGGCTCTTTGTACGCCCTTCATTAGAGGCCAGTTGGTGAAGATTATTTGCTATTCTGGACCTCGTCTGTTCATGCTCTTAACAGTCTCTGCCGTAAGTGACAAAGACGCTGATTTAGCAGTCGGTGTAATGGTTCTTGCTGTGGCCTGCGCTACAGCAAGGGTATTCTCTTAAATCTCCTTGTCCAAACTCTGCATTCTGGGTTTTACGTTCCATCCGAGCTGGCTCAAGTTCATCTTGTGTGTGGAGTAACATGTAGCCGCACTCAAATTTCCCATACCATTAAAAAATGTTTGGTTTTTTACTTCCATCTACTTGGGCCATATCCTACCTACTGGCATATTCCTCGAACATACTGTGAACATCTGTACTGGGCCAGAGCAAAGCCAGGAGCCCAGAACTCTATCCACGTCCCTTTTTTTAAAGACTTATTTATTTTTATTGGAAAGTTGGATATACAAACAGGAGAGATGGAGAGGAAGAGCTTCTGCCTACTGATT